TTATAAAGATAAGTGTTAATTTTTGTATATAATTTTATATATAACAATCCCATGGGGTCACTGGTAATCTTTAAACTTGCTCTTAGTATTGTTAAATTAATTAATAAATGCATTGCACATTTATAAGTGTAATATATCAATGTAAATATGTATTTTTTATATCAAATTGCATTTTGTTTGTTTACTTTCAGTAAATTAATAATTTTTTTAAATAGTCTTTTGTTTTTTACTTTTCAATATGCTCTCAGCCCCTTCGTAGAGTTGTCACACTCCCCAAGGGGGGCGTGCCCCACAGTTTGAGAAACGCTGAATTAATACTAAATTGGAAATATTCTAGTTTACATGGATGTACTTACAAATTCAGTAAGATATTTATAATAATAAAGGTCTGTTTAAAATATCACGTACTGATAGAAACATGTTATGTAATAATTCGCATAAGTGTGAATTAAGTTTTGAAATTTATAATTTTGACACTTAAGTAAGAAGATTAAACTGGAAAATATTTAGAGATGTTTAAAATTAGAATCTTAACCCTATTGCGTCACCAAAATGTACCGAAAGTTTTTGTGTTGCATTAAGTTGCCAACATCTATATCCGGATACTTTTAAATCAGCATTTAATTAAGTTTTTAGTTTATAATGAACAAAATGTGATGAAGTCCTATACATTATGATTATTTCTTTGGAGTACATCATTTTAAACCTTTTGACTTGTTCAATACCATTAAAAAAGTCCATTTTTTTTTATTAATGTTTTATATAAAATTATTCCTGATACTTCTGTAACGTAAAAAACAATTAATAAAATTAAAATTTTAAGCTGATAAATAATTTTTTTTTTGAAATTTTATGATTTAAGAAGCTTTGTACGTTAAGTATGATTGGAACGAAGCTGAAAGGGAGTTTTTTTTTGTTTGTTTTACTTTGATAACATGAATTTTTCTTGTATGATAAATAAAAATTAAAACATATAAATAAATTTTAAGTATACATATATGAATATAAAATAATTTGGAAATAAATAAGGATTTTAAGAAATTGTGGTGAGTTATAGTAAGTTCTATTGTTGATCATTGTTAAGAGTAGCAGTATTGGGGATCTATAAACAAAAATTCGAGGTTTGATTCTGAATGCTAGAGTTAAAAATAATTAAGGTTTTTGCACATCAAATTTAATTATGTCTCAGGGAATTTCCATGACATAAAATCAAATTTAGAGAGTAAAGTGACAGCATTTTTATTTTAAATGAAGCCAACTTTTTATTTCTTATTCACATCGATTGTGTGTAAAATGATGTGTAACAAATTATGTTAAACAAATGTTATGTGTATAAATACTTTTAAACAATTATTAATGAGAGATAAGTTGATTTGGAAACTTCATATTATTTTGTAAACTTCTTTTCAAGTTCTTTTATTAACATTGGAGCATAAGATTTAAATCATTCCTTATTCATCATTGCACATTTTTTTGTAAAATGAAAATGAAATGTATAAATGTATAGTTGAATACAAAAGATTTGTATCTATCTATCTATATATATACATAAATTAAATCGTAAGGAGTTTTGCAGAAATGAAGCTGTCAGCATAAGTTTTTATAGTTTTTTTTGCCATTCTTAGATATGTATACATTAAATTGTGTATGTTTTTCAAAAAAAAAAAACATAAAAATACAAGAATGGAATTTTCACTGGAACAAAAATTACTTATATCAGAAACATAAGCTAAACAGAGTTATTCTTTTAAAATCAAAATGCAAAATAAAAACTTTAAAACCAAAGGTTTTTCTAGGTGTTTAGAATTTTTAGATATAGCTGAAAGCGCGGAAATAAACAAAGGAAAAAGAAAACTTTCTATTTTGGCAATAAAATTTATCATCTATACTAATTTAAGAATGTCAAAAAATGTATCCTTACTATGAATGTGTCATAATGCAAATGATACTGCAGAGGCATTTCTAAAGGCATATCTTAGCTTATCTTATGTCTTTATTCTAAAAAAGCACATCATCCTCACTTAGATCAAAGTTACTTCTGTTTATCATCAATAACAGAGCTTCCTCTTCTTTCTTCCGAATAGAAGTTTCCCTATACAATCTTGAGAATCTAGAAAAGGTGAAGAAATTCCCCTTCGTAACTCGGTAATGCTTCCGCAAATCATTTTAATCATGAAAGGGACATGTCCAAGGACTAGAAAAGATTCTGTAAGTTCTCAGAGACAGAGCAGCCAAGAGGATCTACCATTACGAAACACCGTAACACTACTTTGATTTAGTTGAGGGAAAATACCCATTTTGTGCATTTCGCAATCCCAAAACTGATTCAAATTATAGTTTAC